GAAGCCCCAGAAAAACTAGCCCAACAATTAGAATGGCCTCATCTCTAAATAAAAATTCCCAAACAATAAAATAAAAACACATTTCCACGTTAACTATATATATATAGACAAACATAATGCAATAATCGGGCCAATTTTCATTTATTTACAGTGACCCAAGCCCACATTAATGAACTACTATTCAAACCAACCAACCAACCGATTAATGAAAATCTAGTTAATCCACTTCCCTCATCTCACTCACCATCAATTTTCTTCTCTCTCCTCAACGACTCTCTCACTAGAACTCCATGTTTCCCTTGTTTGGCTTTCTGCAACATTATCAGAACCAACAACTACACTCAATGCCACACCACCACCGCGGCCGCCGCCGCCAATCTGAATTTCGGTCACATTTTCACCACACAACAATCCACTATTTACAAAATCAGCACCAGCTCTGCAAACAGGGCAAACGGGAGTCCTCAAAAGCCACAAATCCACGCACTCAGCGTGAAAACTGTGATTGCAAGTAGGCAAAAGCCTGCATCTCTCACCCGCCCTGAAATTCTCCAAACAAACAGCACAATCTGCTGCAGGGCTGATACTCCCAGCTTTCTCCTTCCCCACGAAATCGAAACAGGGCAACTTTTCGATGTCGTCTCGGGACATGCTCGTGCTCCCCAAACTTTCTCTCTCCACCGTATTCCTATTATTACTATTACCGTTTCTCTCTCTAACCCCGTTTCTGAGAGTCCTCCCAACGATACAGACATGGATCAGCACTAAAGCTCCGATTCCTAGGAAAAGCAGGATTACTGAGATCACTACTGTCATCACTATAACCTCTGTTGCAATGCCTAAAACATGGCTCCCCATCTCAAGTAACCATCCATGTATTATCAAGCCCAAGAAACCAAAAAAAAAAAAAAGGCGATCGTGCTTGTAGAAAGGACGTTGATCAAGAAAATGATTACGAAAAATTGTGTTTCTAAGTGTGTTCAAGAAAACGGAGTGGGCAATGCAATAAAAGATGCAATGATGTGGGAAGAAATGTCTTATGGGAAGGTTTTCGTATGGTAAGTGATTCAACAGAAGGCAGCTAATCCAATAGTAAATATTTAAGTAATAATTCAAACTTTTGGTGGGGTTGATTGATTTTGTGGAGTGGTTGGAGAGTGAATGAATTTGTAGCTATTGAAAAAATAGAGATTATAGACATTTGGAGTAACGTCAGAAAAATTGGCAGCAATATTTTTGTCTTTAGATGAAAAAAATAGCAAAGTACAATAATATATATAAAGACTGTGATTGATAGTATTAATAATGATGGACAAATTGATTTCATTATGTACATGTAAGGTTGAGACAGATAAACGTGCACTTAATGCATTTCGCTAAATTAGCTATACATTAATACATACATCAATTCGTGAGGGACCTATATGCATATTGCAGACCCCGCATCATTATTTGTGAGTTGATATCACATGCGAATGTAACATGGTCGTTTTATAGCACCAATTTTAAGAAGGGGAATTTTGTTTATAAGCTCTATATTTTGCTGTCACAATTGATTCATACAGCAATAAAACCACTAAGAAAAGGATGGAAGCAAAAGACATGTCAAACTGCCAATGGCTTATTACTAGTTCTCGTAATTGAAGCTTAACCTCCAAATAGTCAATCGAAACACAACTTAACATAGTTAATGCAATAAAATGCCCGCAAAGAACATAATTCCGACTGCCACATTTGGATAGACAACTTCGCATGCCCTCAAACAAAGAAAGCCCACTTGATCAAGGAACCAAAACATTAACTCTTTAGGGGAATTAACTCAGATTTCATATTAATAGCACAAAACAATTTCTGAAACAAACAAACATTCAATATCCAATATACGTGCGCGGGCAGAATCTATAGCTCAAACTATGCACTTCAATCGCCTTACCGAACATATCAAATTTTCACGGTATATACAAGTAAAATAAAATTGTCACGAAATGGGAAATTAAGAAAGAATATGACTCACTCACTAAGGCACTTGCTCGAAGATAGAGGTTTTGCTATGAACCCAAAACAAGTCCCGCTCGAGCAGTATTGGTCACACGAAGAACATCTTGAGCATTTAAAGGAGAGAGCTTTGATTGGCAGAAAAGTTCCCAAGAAGCGATAACAGGTTCTTCAGATACAGCACTTGCCTCTATAGTAACATGTGATTTTTCAAATACAGAATGCAACTCCAATAACAGAGTTCGAGCAGCATCTCTAGACTCGGGGAGTTTGTCATTGAGCTGTGATGCACCTATTTGGACCAGTTTGTCAATACCAAATGATTCAATTCCATCAACTCCCTGCCAAAAAAAAAATAAAAGGTGCAACTATGAGACGAATGAGTATGATCTTCATAGCCCTAAATTGGGAGCTAAAAGCTCTTCAAAATTCAAATGCATGATAAACAACTTGAAAGTAAGGGGGTGGGGGTGGGGGGTGGAATTAAAGCGTGGAAATTATAAGCGACATTACCAGTCGCCGTACACTTCGAGAAATGCAGACAGATGCCTTTGCTCGAATTCGTGGATTCTTGTTTTTAATATGAGGTTGCAGTTTGGGCAACAATAGAAGAGGAGAAACCGAGCTATTCAAGGCTATTAAAGCACTTTCAGCTGCCTCGCATACAAATCTCTTGTCTTGTGAAGATTTGAGGAGGAGCTGTACAAGCTAGAAAAGGCAATAACAATATTATAGTTGATAGACGGAAATTGACAACTGTTTTTTAATTTAAATGGTAAAACCTACAACTGAGCTTAAAGTAGAATGTATTACCAATGGATCCAAAGAATCAATTATGTCATCATTAAAAGCTTTGAAAATGTCGGCAGACGTCATGATTGCTGTTTTGCAAAGGGCACTTCTTGGGTTCTTCATGGATTTCAATATGAGAGAAATCACATCACTCCTGTTTATTATGAATTGAGATTTACAAGGGGCAGAAATTAAAATCACCGAATGCAGCCAAAAATTATGGGATTCCCACATACTAATTTGCGAAAAACCAAGTAGAAGCTGACACTTACAATATGCCAACAATGGCTTCCTTGTGATATATAGACAGTCTGCGGACATTGTTGAGCGCATCACAAACTGAAACCCAGTCTTTGGAGCTTAGACCTGATACGAGTGTCTATAAACAAGAATGCAATAAATCATTAACATTTGAGTACTTGATCCAAAAAATAAACAAAAATGAAAAAAGAGAGAAATATCATTACCTTCAAACAATTCTCCACATCTTCGACATCCTTCAAATTCTCAGATTCAATGTACTCTATTTCCAATATTGCCGCTGCTTCTCCAGAATTTTCTGTGCCGTCAATGTCAGTAGGAGGGTCAACCATAGCGGCCATTTTTTTGTTGAGTTTTTCTCCAGGGTTTTCTTCCGTAGTTTCGGTGACAGGTTTTACTGAGTTTACATTATTAGAAGTTCCATTTATCCTCTCAGACTCTGGTAATTTGCTGACATCTCCGAGAGCTACTTCCGACATTATGGAAATTATAGGCACCTGAAACAAGAAGTACAAAAACACTTTTACATTAGCATTATAGTCAATTAAGGTACAAATACATAGGACAAATAGATACATATTGCCATTTACTCGAGATTACGATCCCAACACCAATAGATACATTTCAGAAACAGAATTGCTTGAGGACAAATTATACGAAAAACTAATGATACTAATTCATTCCTTCACTGCATACTAAAATAAAACAGCCTCTGAATTGTCACTTAGGTTCATATCTGATAACGAATAATGACTATCGACATTCTATTAGTAGCTAATAGACTAGATCTAGCAAACTTATTGACAGAAACAGCCAATGTAGTGAAGAAACTCAACATAGAAACACACAGCAGAACTTACGAAACAAATCAGTAAGTTAAATCTTCGTCAATCACTACTCAACAGATCACTAAATATTTATGGATCACTCGAATTTAAACTTCAAAAATATCAGAGAAGACAAACTCAAACTAACCAAGTGACAAATCAAATATTAATCACATTAACAACTCCATTTCTGCAAATCGGGATAGCGATCTAGCACTAATAATTGAAGGGAAAAAAATTAAAAAATCATATCAAGTGCAACAGGGCGGATTTTAACAGATAAACAGTAAGAAAAAAAAAATATACACACTAACTTAAAATCGAGCAAAAATGCATTAAGATCTCACAATCCTTAACTCCGAAATCATGAATTTCAATCGATTACTGCAAGTCTGCAACTAGATTCACAGCCAATACATGATAAATTTCAGTTAACATCTCAAAATGCGTACACGGGGAAGATGCATTACCACGGGAAAATGAAAATCCGACGGCGTATTTGAGGAAGCAGCAGCGAGATAATTGTGATAGTATTTATTGCAATACTGTGAATGACATCAATACTACTATTTATAAAGAAAAATAAAGAGGAAAAATGAGAAAATGTAGAGCGAGAAAGAAGAGAGAGAGAGAGTTAAGAGAATGTAACCGGCGGGCAGTAAAAAGAGACGGCGTGTTTTAATGCCCAAACCTAGGCCGGCAGGGGGCGGGTAAATATTTTACACGGGACCTTTCGGGGGTGCCGGTCAGATATTAAATTTACGGATATGCCCCTAGGTCTTTCTTTCTACCTAAAGTCAAATATGTGACTACTTTGTTTAATTTGGTCTTTCATAGGTTTTTAAATAGCAATTAAAATTTAATTTAAATATGTAGATATTTAAGGAGAGTTGAGGGGTTCAAATTTTGAAAAAGACGCTTCAACCCCAAAGCAGCAAAATTTGAATTCAAATAGTGAAATTGCATCATTTTTTCTAAGTTATTGTGACGGTTACATAGTATTAGTACTATCAGAGTAGCCTAAACAAAAACTAAACTAATCATCGCGCATTAATTGTATTAATTAACTCTGTAGTACTGTTTAATTATTTTGAAATAATAATTACTGATAACTTTAACAAGATTTCAGCACGTGCGAAAAAAATTAGTTGCAAGAGTTTTGGAATATAGACTCTATTTGCCAAATATTTATTAGCAATATTAATGGACTTCTCGAAAAGTCAATTTCAAATAAATTTGGGCCTAAACTTATAGTTATTATAGCCCATTAAGCTTATTGTTTTTTGGACTACGAGGGTAATATGGGCCTCAGCTCTTCTAATTGTAAGTTCGATAAATTTGGGTAGGCCTAGCAATAGTAAATCTATAAAATGTCATCATTTTTTTTCATTATGAGTTAAATTAGAAATTATATTATCTAATACGAAATTAGGATGTTATCCATGTGCCATTTTCACATGGAATGTGATTAATAATCAAAATGTGGCCCGCATGGGTGTAGCTCAACTGGTTCCGGAGGTGGTAAGTTGGTGCAAGGTTCTACGATCGAATCTTGGCAGCCGCAGTGTGGGAATTTCAACTCCAATGAGGGTTGGTTCCTTGTGGGCACTAGGTTCGGGTCCGCTACCTTAACGGGCCGTTGAGTTACCATGATTTAGATTCCTCCATCAATCCTTGTCGGGCCAAGGGATGGGGGCGAGGGATTTCGTCTTTTGGTGCAATAATCAAAATGTGCAAGTTTCGTCTAACTAATTTTGCGAGTATATGGTATTTCCTCCCAATTCATTAACATTTCAATTTTGTAGTAGTCGCGACATATATACTTTTTTTTTTATCAATCTATTAGGGTAAACAAATCTCGACGACCTGTAAATGACAACTGTCACACATACAGTACACGCGGTCGCTACTCGTGGATTTCCATAATCATGTTGCGCGAAAACGGGATATGTACTTGCTTCCATAATAAATCTGATCTTCCACACATAATTCTTACCTTTTAAAACACCTTCGATCCAGGAAGACGTCGATTGAGTTTAAACTACAATAATTTAAAGTATACTTCTTTTACTTTGTTATTAGCTTTCTATTTGTTGCAGTCATAGTATATATATATTTTTGGATTGATTTTTAAGGTAAATAAAAATCACGACGACCCATCCTTTAGAATAAATCTTATCTTTCTGGCATAACATACATTTTAAAATAACTCATTTTCATGAGGACATCGATTGAGTTCAAACTACAATATTTTAACTAATGTTTCTTTTACTTCGTTATTAACTTTATTTATTGCAGTCGTAGTATATACTTTTGAATCAGTCTGTTAGGGTAAACAAATCGCGACAACCCGTCTCTCATAATAAATCTCAAGTCCCAATCACAACTTACCTTTGGAATAACTCTTATCCACGAAGACGCAAATTTAGTTCGAACTACAATATCATAAATCATACTTCTTCTATTTCGTTATTAACTTTTACTTGTTGCAGATGCAACATATATTTTTAGATCAGTCTGCTCGTGTTAAAAAATCACGACAAACCGACTTTCATAATAAATCATAATTCCCAAGCATAACATAACTTTTAAAATAACTTCGACCAAATCGAACTACAACATTCAAAATTCTTCTTCTTTTACTTGGATTATTTTATTTTATTTTATTTGAGCACATGAATTGTCAAACTAATAAAAAAATAAAAGTCCAATCCTTTAAATACTAATTATAGAATAGCACGAGTAGAAGAAGTGAGGTACAACACTGGTACAAAAAACGAGGCCCACTGGGCTTGTCTTCAGTCGGCGGCGGCTGTCTGAAATGAACCCTACCACACCAACTTTCCATAGATTTACTCCCCACTGTCACTATAAATACGACTGTACACAGAGCTATCAGTATTATATACATGCGCCGCTGTCGAATTCTGACATCATGAAATTTGTTGTGCGGATCTATTTATCGATTTTCGAAGATCTCCACAGCCCACCGCCTCCCCCTGAACCTCCGCCGCCCCGTTGTTTTTTTTTGAATTAACGGTGATGGTCTACAGGTTAGGTTCTAACGCCTCTTAATTAGTTTAATTGCTTGTCCAAAATCGAATTTAATTTGTTTAATTGTTCATTCCAGAATTAAAGAAATGTGGGGAGATCTCCACCGCACACAGCCTCCTCCCGAACCGCCGCCGGATTTTTCGGATTAACGTCCATCTATTCGTAAATACAGGTATGCCGTTAGTTTTTCTTTTTTTGTCTCTTAATTAGTTTATTTAAATGAAATCGAATTTAATTGGTTTAATTGTTGAATCCAGGATTGAACAAATCGATCAGAGATCTCCACCGCCCACCGCTCCTCCTGAACCTCCACCGCCGCCGGGTCTATTGCATTAACGTCACTCTTTTTTGCAAATAATTTTTTCGATCGAAAAGAAAAAAATGGGCGATGGTCTGCAGGTAGTTTTTTGTCTTGATTTGTTTATTTGCATGAGAAATCGAATTTAATTTGTTTAATTGTTGATTCCAAAATTGATATATACGATCTGGCCAATGAATTTCATTTTTTTATATGTTATGCATGTTTTGTTTGTGGCATGTTTTTGTTACGGAGATCGTAGATCGAGACCATTTATCGATGTATACAAATTAATTCGAGATTTGAAACTCGTGAAATGATGATTTTTTTTTTCGGAACTTAAACCTTAAGATCGGCTTTGTATGTACCGAATGTGTATTCTATATTTTGTTTACGTATCCAATGCTATAGTTGTGGATGAGAGATATGTTGCCCTTTTAGTTTACGTCTGAGGAAAATTTATGAAACACTAGAGGGTTCGTTTTTTTGTCTCTTAATTAGTTCATTTACATGAAATCGAATTTAATTGGTTTAATTGTTGAATCCAGGATTGAACAAATCGTCCAAGATCTGCACTGCCCACAACCTCCTCCCGAACCTCTGCCGCGTTTTTTGCATAAACGTCATTCTGTTTCGTAAAGTCTTTTTGTCGAATGCAACAGGTAGTTTTTTGGTCTCTTAAATCTTAATTAGTTTATTTATTTGCATGATGAAATCGAATTTAATTTGTTTAATTGTTGATTCCAGAATTGTTATGTACGATCTGGCCAATGAATTTAAGTTTTTGTATGTCATGCATGTTTTGTTTGTGGCATGTTTCTGTTCCGGAGATCGTAGATCAAGACCATTTATTGATATATACCAATTAATTGAGATTTGAAACTCTTAAAATGATGATTTTTTTTCCGGAACTTAAACTTTAAGATCTTAATAAATGAATTTGGAATTATCGGCTTTGTATTTGGACTTTAATTGTATTTATAGTTCTGGATGAGAGATTTGTTGCCCTTTTAGTTTACGTCTCAGGAAAATTCATGAAACCCTAGCGGGTTTTTTTATTCCTTTCGATTCTATGATTTTTTTAGGAGCCATTTAATGACATCATTACAGGGAAGGGAATAAATAAGACAAGTAATATCCTTTTTAAGACTGGGATCCAATTTGAATATAATTGTTTGTTTTTTACGTGCGTGACATCTAAATAGGGAATATTTGTATGATCATTGAATGTAGAAAGAAATTGTTATTTCATCGCATTTTTTTTTTTGAAAATTGTAACTCTTCACCTACACTTACAATGAACAAGGCTTTTATTATTATTTTTTTGACAGGCAGATGGCGTTGACGCTAGTGCAGTACTTTGAACATTATTATTAGGGACACAAGTGCGAAACCATGTTCTTAGGCTCTTCCCCTTTTTTCCCTTAAGATATAAGACTCTTCTTCCATTGGTTGCTTTACAAAATTTGAATCGTATTTCCCAATGCCCTCAACAACCAATTCCCATGTTAATTTTTTCATCCTTGATTACAGAAGATCGGAATACAAACATAAGCGCCGAGTGGCTGTGAGTAGCTTTGTTTCACAACAACCCTCTTTTCCTTTTCTTGCTTGTTTCACCATACTTGAATTCTCTCAAGACTGATTTTGATGGACCGGAAGAAGAATTGTCATACTTGATAGCGGAGTCTAAGGAGTATATTCGCAAAGAAAGAGCAGATACGGTGGATATTTGGGCAGCTGTTGGGAGTGAGGATCAATACCTCCAAAAGCAATCTAAATAGCTCAGCTTAATCATATCTTCAAATACGATTACTGCCTGAACCATCCGAAGCATGCCTCCTATAAATGCACGCTTTGGACGACCGCAACGCTTCCTTAGGAATCGCAACTTACATATCTAGAAGGTTGTCTTTAAGTTGCCCTAAATAATCAGCCGTTTTGTCTATCAACGGTTGTACAGAGTTAGGGTCAACTTCCTTCGTATCCTCAACAACCATTTTACCCTTTATCCGTTTCATCTTCATCTCGGTTGTCTCTACCTCAACTGAAGGAGCATAATTGCCCTTGCCCTTCTGTATGTTCGTCATCCTTGTCATAAAGTTTTGACCTTGATTTAGGACAGGTGGTTGAGGCTCTTCGCCTTCAATTTTAAACTCATTCGGCGAACTATTAATTCTTGATCTAATTAGCAGAAAAGTCTTCTCCAGTTGTCCTTTAACTCGGTCATCGTCTCTCAAGGAATCGACAACTCCTTTGATTTCAACTTCCGATTGGTAGCACGCCCAAGAAGAATATGCCTTTGATCCTCCAATGCTCCAAATTTGTTCAATTCTACTCGTCTTCGAATTTCCGACAACATTAGGATTTTTGCTATCTTGATATCGCTCATCAACTTCATTGACAATCACCCAAGTACCGGTGTCTAAATCTATCATCCAGTACAGTTTTCCAGCATATTGGATGCCCAAATACTCACTCCTTAGTGAATTTTTAAACGTGGCACTCTCGATTGGGTGTTGGATTGAAGAGAGTTCGCATTTCTTCAAATGTTCCCGAACGAGATCAGAGTCCAACATCTCATTGCAAAAGAATTTCAGAAGGGGATATCCTATCCCATAGATGTTGTAAGACCAATCTTATTTTCAACATCTATGGCTTTGGATTTGATAAAGGCAAGGATTCGGCATATCAAGGTTTGTCCTTTATTTCCCCCTCCCTATTTGTCTGTACATGATCCTTAATTCAATGTTTGGAAAGTCATGGTATCATTTATTGCCTTTATATTATCACGGTTTCCCAAATTTTAGCTTAAAGCATTAGAATTCATCATACTTAGTATAGAGAGTTTTTAATACTTTAAATTTGGGTATCAAGAAGTTTTTGAGCTATAACAAAGTATTTTTACAAGAAAATTGATGACAATAGTTCTACTACAAAAATGACAAATTGGCAAGTTCAATACATAAAGACAAATTTTATTGAATTTTTTTTTTTTTTATCATTATCCCGACACAACCGTGATAATGTCTATGATTGGGATTTCACATAATAGCAATCAATATAAAAATGATTTATAATAATTCAGTTTATTAAATTTTATGTTGTTCTATATTGCCGTTACTAATTTTGTTTTGATCTTTTATGCCTTCCAGTTTTGCCACACCTCCGACTTCCACCATATCTATGCTTGTAATACACTGCTATGAACTTGCGTCTCGAGGCCTAAGATCCAAGGAAATGAAAAACAGGTAATAAAATGTGGCAAGATTTATTCCATTTGCTTGGTATCGTGATTTTGCGACTTTTAGTATGCTTATTTTGATTAATGATGTTTATTGATTCATATCCTTTATTTGATGACTGCACCATATTAGCTTACCTTTTATTTTCAATGATATAATCATGAATCATTTTTTACTTTTAGACCAGACTACCTCATTCATGCTGTGCATATAATATTTATTGAAATGGTTAATTGCATTTGAGACGAACCATGGCCTGAAATGATTATATTAATGGATCAGGTGCTTTTGGGTCTGAAAATGTGAACGTTCTATATTGACCGATATGTTTTTGGTCAAGCCCAATATTTTCGATGTTTTCTTTTTAATTTATAATTAATGCTAGTAAAATGCTACAAAGAGATGATGGGCGTAAATAAATCGATGGGTCCATTTAATGTCAAATCGTTCTAGTAATACCAATTTACTCGCATTTAAGTCCATTTCACCGTTTACTCGCATTCCACTATTACTAGGGTTTGCAAATTCACTGCCGCGCCGCCGCTTTGAGCAATTTTAGGGTATGGTGAATTGTATTAAAACCCCTCTGAGGGCATAAAATTTTTCATTCAGTGCATTGATTTTTATTTTCATTTTTAGCAATCATCTCCTTTTTCGTCAAGCGCAGTTGTTCGTCCTGGTGAATTTAGCTCCATATTAATATGTATTATAATTTGTTTGCTGCATTTATATGTTTCTATATTGTGCGTACCCGGTTATAAAAAATGATTCTGCATTTATATGTTTCTTGATAAGATCTTGCAAGTAGTCATTTTTGTGTAGATGTTGTTATTCATACCGATCAGATCCGGTAATTCATTGCAAAAACGTAACAATTTGAGATATATAATGTAGATTTTGGATTTATTATGAAATAAAAATTGATATACCTTGTGACTAGATAGATCTATGGTTTGAAATATTTAATTTTATTTTGCTGTTGTCTGTCAAGGTAATTGAGTAGATTACGATTTTGGAATTTTTTTGAAGTTCGATAATTGTTGTACGCATGTATATTGATACTTGTAGAGTGATTAATCAATAGCCTTTTGATTTGATTTACCAGCAGTAAATCGAAGCTTGTTGCATCTGTAACGTGGATTTTGCACCAAGGAGGTCCTTTGTGCAGTGGAATTGAGTAAATCTGTGTTAGATTTTTTTGGCTGCTAAGTAATTCAAGTCTAAGTGGAGGCCCATGGAAAAGTTGGAAGCCCGATAAATGAAGAGCCTGTCTCAATTAATCATACAGTCCATGGAGATCATCCACATTTCGGAGATCTTCTTGAGGTAAATTTATATTCTTTATTTGAAGAGTCTCTTATATTTTTATGTTTTTATATTTTTTTGGCTGTTAAGAGAGATTAGTTTATTTTTTCCTCTAATATATTGTATGTTCGTATGTAGGCATGGATTTTCTTGTCGCGTTTCCAGGAGGTATTAGGTATGAGAAAGGGTCTCTCTTTGAAAGAATTTATCGCAGAACTGGATGGACCATCATTCGATGGTTTACTCGAAGCTCACATATTAATGCTGCAAGTACTATTAAGAGAGTTCCCCCAAAAAATGGGGCAACTTAAAAACGTGGAAAAAATAACCGAGATTAATTTCCCTCCCGTGAATAAATTTACATGGCGAGAATTGGCTAGGAGGTATGCTTTAGCCATGTCATTTTTGAAAGGGGAGCTGGGCTCGTTGGAGGTTTGTGATGGCATTGACGTACTTTTGAACTTATGTGGCGATGTTACACCACAAAGTGGTCCGAAAACTGGAGTTGCTGGATTAGAAGCCGATGCAGAGGTGAGTCGAGATTGAGTTTTTTCGTATGCTTTCTTTGCAATTTTTTGAAACTAATATTAATAAATAGTGATTAATTACAACATTTTCTTATTTTTAATCTTGTTCTTCTTGGTTTTCTTTTTTTCAGTTTCTTGCTGCAGCATCGAACATAATTTATAGCTCTCTCTACGACGATGGTGAAGCGGACTTAAAGTCTGAAGACGCCACGGCGAATGAAGAAATTCCCGGGTGGGTTCAAGAGTTGGAACCCATAAAAAGTTTGAAGACAAATGTGGGGTCCAAAATAAGAAATTGTATCAATAAATCATTGGAAATGGATCCACCCGAATGGGCGAGAGAATGCTTGGTTCGTTCGATCAGCAAAGAAGTTTACAAGGGCAATGCTTCTGGCCCTACGAAGGTAATTCTCATCTCTGACTCTGTCCATATAGTTTTGTTTGTCTTGGGTGATAAATCTTTATGTTTTAATTTTACACATTTTTTCTCTTGCAGAAACTAGCTCTGGAAGTTGCTTCAACTTTCCACTCTATGCAACAAAATCATTCCGTTGGGAGAACCACCAGAAAGAACTTCAAACCTATGTGGGACATTGTAATGAAACAATGTCGGATAGTGTTGCGTAAATCGGCCACAGTGAAACAAACTAGAAAGCTCCGCAGGTTGCTTGGAGATAAATTGGTGTTCTGTGGCAGTAATGAAGAAGGGCTTCTTGGTTCTCCGGCTATGGTTTCCAGTCTTTTCTATTTAAGGATGGTTGATTTGAGATTGGCTGCCGGTGCTTACGGATCACATGAAGCTTTTTTCGACGATGTAGAAGAGGTATTTTTTGTTACGTTTTCAAATATACACGTGTAATATTTTGTTCGTTGATCTTGCTTTAGAGCCGTATTATTTTCCGTGGAGTAGCATAGGAGTCTTAACTTTCGGAAAAAAATCTAAAATTTTCGCCTCTTTATAATAACGTTGCATTTGTTTAATTGATTGATTCGTTCTTAACTAATTAATTATTTTCTTGAACTATGGAACAAGAATGTGACTTTCTGTTTATTCATTTCTTTTCACCCCTTTAATATTGTGATAAAAGATTTTGTTAATACATGCTAGATTCTCTTTTTCTTAACTTTGCTTTGTTTTTCAACTTCTAGTTCTGGAAAGAGGTGCAGATTGCTTTATGCAATTACCCAAATCTGGTTCAGCTCGCCGAAGAATCATACCACGCATTTGATTCTTTATATTTAAAAGAGGTACACATTTTCTCTGCATCTATCACTTGATCCGTGGTTATATTTTTCAAAATCTCCATTCTTCTTTTACTGTGATCCTGTATGCTTGTTATATTTTACATTTTTTTTAATTGGAAAATAATCAGATTAGCAGTATGATTTATTTATGGTCTTACACAAACTCGTTTTTTTTTTAGGTTCTTCCTCTGCAGCATAAATTAGACAATTCTAATGAGGATATTGATCATTTTGATGCTGTTGCGAATGAAATTCCCAAAGCACCTTGGGATAAAGGGATATGCAAAGTTTGTGGCATTGATGAGGAGGATAACAAGGTTCTACTTTGCGATCAATGTGATGCAGAGTATCACACATATTGTTTGAATCCGCCTCTTGCTGGTGTGCCTCGAGGAAGTTGGCACTGCCTTAATTGTGTCGCAGCAGACGCGAATGTTGTTCAAGATGCTCTTTCTAGCGAAGTATCGGTTGGTTTAAAGCCAGAGGAACAAAAGAGCGACTTATGTCCTGTCCAATATAAAGCTGCTGATGTGGTAGATGAGATGCGAGAAAAAGAGTACTCGGAGTTAACTTCGGATGAGGTCAGCCTAGTGTTATATATTTTTATTATGATAAATTGCTTGGAACTTGTTAAAAATTCTTTTGTGATTTAAAGTAAAAGTTGTATATCATTCAATTTGTCCTTTATATGAATTGCAAGGTTCTATATTCTCATTATTCTCTTTGGTTGAAACAATTTTTTTTTCTATCAACCATTGTACGTGCAGAGAATCCTCCTTCTGAATTTTTTTTGCAATGAAATGTTGGACTCGGATCTCATTCGGGAACATTTGAAAAAATGCGAACTCTATTCAAGTCAGCACCCAATCGAGAGTGGCACAGCAATGCACACAACAATCGAGAGTGCCTCGTTTAAAAATTCACTAAGGAGTGAGTTTTTGGGCATCGATTATACTGGAACACTGTACTGGATGATAGATTCAGACACTGGTACTTGGGTGATTGTCAATGGAGTTGATGAGCTATATCAAGATAGCAAAAATTCAAAAGTTGCCGAAAATTCGAAGACGAGTAGAATTGAACAACTTTGGAGCATTGGAGGATCGAAGGCATATTCTTCTTGGGCGTGCTACCAATCAGAAGATGAAATTAAACGAGTTGTCAATTTCTTGAGAGACGATGACCGAGTCAAAGGACAACTTGAGAAGGCTTTTCTGTTAATTAGATCAAGAATTAATGATTCGCCGGATGAGTTTAAAATTGAAGGCGAAGAGTCTCAACCACTTGTCCTAAATCAAGGTCCAAAGTTTATGACAAGGATGACGAACATACTGAAGGGCAAGGGCAATTATGCTCCATCAGTTGAGGGAGAGACAACTGAGATGAAGATGAAACGGATAAAGGGCAAAATGGTTGTCGAGGATACGGATGAAGTTGACCCTAACTCTAGACAACAGTTGGTAGACAAAACGACTGATTATTTAGGGCAACTTAAAGTCAACCTTCTCGATATGGAAGCTGCTATTCCTAAGAAGGCGTTGCGGTCGTCGAAGGCGTGCATTTATAGGAGGCATGCCTGGCGTGTGTTTGTAAAGCGTTCAAACACTATATTCGAGGTTAGTCTTCTACCAAGTCTCTTTCTTTCCCCTCACTTCGAGTCTCTCCTTGTAGGTTGGATTGTTTATCCTTTTAAATGTCTATTTAAGGGATTTTTTTTTGTTGTGAAGTTGCTTATTGTACATATGATAGTTTATCTAGTGAATTTATTAGCCAACCGATGGCAAGCACCAAAGCCTTTTTTGGTGGTATAATTTATAAAAAATAAGAAAGATTTGTAGCTATCTGCCTAATTCTGTTCCATGGTTTATTTTAGTTAGTTATTTTGGAAAAACACTTAATTACAGAATATGCCACCATGAAACTTGATAGATTAATTTTTTTATTTTCATTTTTCTATATTCAGGTGGTTCAGGCACTAATCGTATTTGAAGATATGATTAAGCTGAGCTATTTAGATTGCTCATGGAGGTATTGGTCCTCACTCCCAACCGCTGCCCAAATATCCACCTTATCCGCTCTTTCTTTGCGAATATACTCATTAGACTCCGCTATCAAGTATGACAATTCTTCTTCTCGCCCATCATAATCAGTCTTGAGAGAATCCTAGTACGGTGAAACAAGCAAGAAAAGGAAAAGAGGTTTCTTGTGAAACAAAGCTACTTGTAGCCACTCGTGCTTATGTTTGCATTCTGATCTTCTGTAATTGTTTCATAAGTGATTGTTGATATTGGAGGTTTTTGTTTTTTTGGATGTGTGTAGATTGTAACAATTGCCCAATTTATTGAATTAAAATTTTATATATTAAGAATATTTATATAGTGTGGATTCTGTACATATAATATGGATAAATCATGATACTAAATGGTGGGGGTAGATGTTGGATAGTGTGAATAGTGGTAGACATGGAAGTGGAAAGACATATTCTTACTAATATGGTTGTGGTATGTGACTAGGGGTGAAAATCGGACGGAATGAATCGGAAATGTTTTTTTTGGAAAATTTCTAATTTTTTTTTTGGAATTTAAAAATAGGTTCCAATTTGCGTTCCAAAAAAATCGGAATTTCAAAATTCTTTCCAATTTCGGAATACCTCGGAATTAGCGGAATTTCGAATTTTCCGGAAATTGCATTAATTTTTAATTTTTTGTTCCAAATCGGAAATAATGGTAACTTTTAGCATTTTTTTCTTCTTATTTTTGTAATTTTCTTACAAAAGGGAAGAATCCAAAACAAAGGTCAATAAGAGGAAATGTAAACACTTGTAAAAAGAACATAATCAGTTTATCTAAGCAAACATAGTTCTTGCAAATTTAAATTAAAAAAAAAAGTAAATATAGTTTTTGCAAAACGTGAATAGAAAAACAATTCAAAAATATATATATTTTATAGTATTTTATATTTCGGAAATAAACTGATTATAATTGGAAAAATTGGAAATTGAAATATCGGAAATCGGAATGAAAAAAAGTGTTCTAAATTCGGATACTTTCTAATCGGAATTGGCGAAATTCGGAAATTCCGTTCTAATTTCCACCCCTATATGTGACGTTGGTCTGAAAATTGATTATTAATTACAAAAATTTATTATAACTTTTACTTAAAAGGTTGGAGGGTAGAATTGTAATTGGCAAAATTATGATAAAAAATATTTTTTCCCGCCAAAAAATATTAGGAGTGGTAATATAATTGAAACTAAACAAAAAACTTTCCCCTATATGAACCACAGTGTTTCCACTGAATCACAAGATTAGCTGTAATCTAAGTTGCAAAGTGATTCCTCGTAATGCATTAACAGTTCGATTTTGTTGTATCGCGACATATATATACTTTATCAGTCTATTAAGGTCAACAAATCTCGACTACCCGTAAATGACAATTGGCACATATAGTAGACCCCATCGCTACTCGTAGATTTCCATAATCATATTGCGAGAAAACGGGATATGTACTTGCTTTCATAATAAATCTTAACTTCTACGCGTAATTCTTATCTTTTAAAATAACTTCGATCCACGAAGATGTCGATTGAGTCTAAACTACAATAATTTAAATTATACTTCTTTTACTTCGTTTTCAAATTTCTATTTGTTTCAGTCGTAGTATGTATATATACTTATCAAAAATCACAACGACCCATCCTTTAGAATAAATCTTAACTTTTAGGCATAACTTACGTTTTTTAAATAACTCCTTTTCATGAAGACGTCGATTGAGTTAAAACTACAACTTTTAAATTATACTTCGTTATTAACTTTTATTTATTGCAGTCACAGTAGATATGTTTGGATCAGTCTCTTAGAGGAAATAAATCGCGACAACCCATCTTTCATAATAAATCTTGACTCCCAACCACAACTTACCTTTGGAATAACTCATATCAATGAAGACGGCGATTAACTTGGAACAACAATGTTTTAAATTATTCTACTTTTACTTCCTCATTTACTTTTACTTGTTGCAGACGTAGTATATATTTTTGGATCAGTATGTTCGGATTTAAAAAATCACGACGACCCGTCTTTCATAATAACTCGTAACTTATATCCATCCATGAAGACATCGATTGAGTTCGAACGACAAAATTCTAAATTCTACTTCTTTACTTGCATTATTTTATTATATTTAATTTGAGGACATGAATAGTCAAACTAATAAAAAAATAAAATAAAGTCCATCTACCATTTAAATACTAATTATAGAATAGAAGAAGTGAGGTACAACACTGGCACAAAAAACCAGGCCCACTGGGCTTGTCTTCAGTCGGCGGCGGCTGTCTGAAATGAACCCTACCACACCAACTTTCCATAGATTTACTCCCCACTGTCACTATAAATACGACTGTACACAGAGCTATCAGTATTCTATACCTGCACCGCTGTCGAATTCTGACATCATGAAATTTGTTGTGCGGATCTATCTATCAATTTTCGAAAATCTCCACCGCCCACCGCCTCCCCCTGAACCTCCGCCGCCTCGTTATTTTTTTTTGAATTAACGGTGATGGTCTACAGGTTAGGTTCTAACGCCTCTTAATTAGTTTAATTGCATGTCCTAAATCGAAATTAATTTTGTTTAATTGTTAATTCCAGAATTAAACAAACAAGGGGAGATCTCCACCGCACACAGCCTCCTCCCGAACCGCCGCCGGATTTTTCGCATTAACGTCTATCTATCCGTAAATACAGGTATGCAGCTAGTTTTTTTTTTTCCTCTCGTAATTAGTTTATTTAAATGAAATCGAATTGAATTGGTTTAATTGTCGAATCCAGGATTGAACAAATCGATCGGAGATCTCCACCGCCCACAGCTCCTCCTGAACCTCCGCCGGGTCCATTGCATTAACGTCATTCTATTTCGCAAATAATTTTTTTCGATCGAAAAGAAAAAAATGGGCGATGGTCTGCAGGTAGTTTTTTCGTCCTGATTTGTTTATTTGCATGAGGAAATCAGATTTAATTTGTTTAATTGTTGATTCCAAAATTGATATGTACGATCTGGCCAATGAATTCCGGTTTTTCTATGTTATGCATGTTTTGTTTGTGGAATTCTCGGAGACATTTATGGATATATACCAATTAATTTGAGATTTGAAACTCGTAAAATGATGATTTTTTTTTTCAGAACTTAAACTTTAAGATCGGCTTTGTATTTACAGAATGTGTATTCTATATTTTGTTTAGGGATCCAATGCTATAGTTGTGGATGAGATATATGTTGCCCTTTTAGTTTACGTATGAGGAAAATTTATGAAACCCTAGAGGGTTCGTTTTTTTGAATCTTAATTAGTTTATTTAAATGAAATTGAATTTAATTGGTTTAATTGTTGAATCCAGGATTGAACAGATCGTCCAAGATCTCCACTGCCCACAGCCTCCTACCGAACCTCTGCCGGGTTTTTCGCATTAACGTCATTCTTGGTCGAATGCAGCAGGTAGTTTTTTGGTCTCTTAAATCTTAATTAATTTATATATTTGCATGAGGGAATCGAATTTAATTTGTTTAATTGTTGATTCCAGAATTGTTATGTGTGATCTGGCCAATGAATTTAAGTTTTTCTATGTCATGCATGTTTTGTCTGTGGCATGTTTTTGTTCCGGAGATCGTAGATCGAGACCATTTATTGATATATGCTAATTAATTTGAGATTTGAAACTCTTAAAATGATGATTTTTTTCGGAACTTATACTTTAAGATCTTAATAAATGAATTTGGAATTATCGGCTTTGTATTTGAAATTTAATTGTATTCTATAGTTGTGGATGAGAAATGTGTTGCCTTTTTGGTTTACATCTCAAAAAAAGTTATGAAACCCTAGCGCGTTTTTTTTTCCTTTCGATTTTATGATTTTTTACGAGCCATTTAATGAGATCATTACCGGGACGGGAAGTCAATAAGAACAAGGAATATCCTTTTCAAGACTGGGATCCAATTTGAATATAATTGTTTACGTGCGAAACATGTAAATAGGGAATATTTGTTTGATCATTAAATGTAGAAAGAATTTGTTATTTCGTCGCATTTTTTTTATTTTTTGAAAATTGTAACTCTTCACCTACACTTACAATGAACAAAGTTTATTAATTCTTGCTTTTTTTTTACTATTCTTTTGACAGACAGATGGCGTCAACGCTAGTTCAGTACTTTGAACATTATTATTAGGGACACAAGTGCGAAACCATTTTCTTAAGACAAATGGTTGAAGCTCTTCCCCCTTTTTCCCTAAGATATAAAACTCTCCCCCCATTGGTTGCTTTACAAAATTTGAATCGACTTTTCCCATGCCCTCAACAACCAATTCCCATGTTAAATTTTTCATCCTTTATTCTATTTTTTCATCCTTGATTCGGTTTCCATTTTACAAACACACGCCAGGCTTGCTCCTATAAATGCACGCTTTGGACGACCGCAACGCCTCCTTAGGAATCGCAACTTCCATATCTAGAAGGTTGACTTTAAGTTGCCCTAAATAATCAGCCGTTTTGTCTATCAATGGTTGTATTGAGTTAGGGTCTCTACTTCCTCCGTATCCTCAACAACCATTTTACCCTTTATCCGTTTCATCTTCATCTCGGTTGTCTCTACCTCAACCTCAACTGACGGAGCATAATTGCCCTTGCCCTTCAGTGTGTTCGTCATCCTTGTCATAAAATTTTGACCTTGATTTAGGACAAGTGGTTGAGGCTCTTCGCTTTCAATTTTAAACTCGTCCGGCGAAACATTAATTCTTGATCTAATTAGCAGAAGAGTCTTTTCCACTTGTCCTTTAACTAGGTCATCATCTCTCAAGGAATCGACAACTCCTTTGATTTCAACTTCCGATTGGTAGCACGCCCAAGAAGAATATACCTTCGATCCTTCAATGCTCCAAAGTTGTTCAATTCTACTCACCTTCGAATTTTCGACAACTTTTGAATTTTCGCTATCTTGATATAGCTCATCAACTTCATTGACAATCACCCAAGTACCGGTATCTGAATCTATCATCCAGTACAAATTTCCAGCATAATCGATGCCCATAAACTCACTCCTTAGTGAATTTTTAAACGAGGTACTCTCAATTGTTGTGTGCATTGCTGGGCCACTCTCGATTGGGTGTTGGCTTGAAGAGAGTTCGCATTTCTTCAAATGTTCCCGAATAAAATCCGAGTCCAACATCTCATTGCAAAAGAATTTCAGAAGGGGATATCCTATCCCATAGATGTTGTAGGACCAATCTTGTTTTCAACATCTGTGGCTTTGGTTTTGATAAAGGCAAGGATTCGGCATATCAAGGTTCGTCTTTTATTTTCCCCTTCCTATTTGTATGTTTGGACTTAATTCAATATTTGTCTATATTTGTCTATACATGATCCATCTATCTCATTCACCTATATTTATTTGCCTATGTTTATTGATAATTTTTTTTTTTTCATTATCCCGACCCAACCGTGATAATATCTATGATTGGGATTTCACCTAATAGCAATCAATCTAAAAATGATTTACAATAATTTAATTTATTAAATTTTATCTTGTTCTATTTTGCCCTTACTAATTTTGTCTTGATCTTTTATGTCTTCCAGTTTTGCCACACCTCCGACTTCCACCATGTCTATGCTTGTAATACACTGCTATGAACTTGCGTCTCGAGGCCTAAGATCCAAGGAAACGAAAAACAGGTAATAAAATGTTGCAAGATTTAGTAGGTCAATTTATTCCATTTGCTTGGTCTTGTGATTTTGCGACTTTGAGTATGCTTATTTTGATTAATGATGTTTATTGATTCATATCCATTATTTTGATGATTCTACAATATTAGCTTACCTTTTATTTTCAATGATATACATGCATCATTTATTACCTTGTAAAAAAGGCGATATCATTCATGTTGTGCATATAATATTTATTGAAATGGTTAATTGCATTTGAGACGAACCATGGTCTGAAATGATTATATTAATGGATTAGGTGCTTTTGGGTCTGAAAATGTGAACGTTTTATAATGACTGATATGTTTTTGGTCAAGCCCAATATTTTCGATTTTTTCTTTTTGATTTATAATTAATGCTAGTGAAATGCTAGAAAGAGATGATGGGCGTAAATAAATCGATGGATCCATTTAATGTCAAATCGGTCCAGTAATACCAATTTACTCGCATTTAAGCCCATTTCACCGTTTACTCGCATTCCTCTATTACTAGGGTTTGCAAATTCACTGCCGCGCCGCCGCTTTGTGCAATTTTAGGGTATGGTGAATTGTATTAATACCCCTCTGAGGACTACAAAATGGCATAAAAATTTTCATTCAGTGCATCCATTTTTATTTTCATTTTTAGCAATCATCTCCTTTTTCGTCAAGCGCGGTTGTTCGTCCTGGTGAATTTAGCTCAATATTAATATGTATTATAATTGTTTGCTGCATTTATATGTTTCTATATTGTGGGGAACTGGTTTGTGCGGAACCGGTTGTAAAAAATGATTCTGCATTTATATGTTTCTTGATGAGATCTTGCAAGTAGTCGTTTTTGTTTCGATTTTGATAGTCATACCGATCAGATCCGGTAATTCATTGCAAAAAAACGTTATAGTTTGAGATATATAATATTGATTTTGGATTTATCATGAAATAAAATTGATATACCTTGTGACTAAATAGATCTATGGTTTGAAATATTTAATTCTATTTTGCTGTTGTCTGTCAAGGTAAATGTGTAGCTTTCGGTTTTGGAATTTTTTAGAAATTTGATAATTGTTGTACGCATGTATATTGATCCTTGTAGAGTATATATTCCCGGTGATTAATCAATTGCCTTTTGATTTGATTTACCAGCGGTACATCGAAGCTTGTTGCATCCATAACGTGGATTTTTCACCAAGGAGGTCCTTTGTGCAGTGAAATTGAGTAAATCTTTGTTAGATTTTTTTGGCTGCTAAGTGATTCAAGTCTAAATGGAGGCCCATGGAAAAGTTGGAAGCCCGATAAATGAAGAGCCCGTCTCAATTAATCATTCCGTCCATGGAGATCATCCGCATTTCGGAGATCTTCTTGAGGTACATTTATATTCTTTATGTGAAAAGTATCCTATATATATATATATATATATATATATATATATATATATATATATATATATAGATATATAGATATATACTTTATTTTTTCCTCTAATATATTGTATGTTTCATATGTAGGCATGGATCTTCGTGTCGCGTTTCCAGGAGGTATTAGGTATGAGAAAAGGTCTCTCTTTGAAAGAATTTATCGCAGAACTGGATGGACCATCATTCGATGGTTTACTCGAAGCTCACGTCTTAATGCTGCAAGCCCTATTAAGAGAGTTCCCCCAAAAAATGGGGCAAATTAAAAACGTGGAAAAAAGAACCGAGATTAATTTCCCTCCAGTGAATAAATTTACATGGCGAGAATTGGCTAGGAGGTATGCTTTAGCCATGTCATTTTTGAAAGGGGAGCTCGGCTCATTGGAGGTTTGTGATGGCATTGACGTACTTTTGAACTTATGTGGCGATGTTACACCACAAAGTGGCCCGTTAACTGGAGTTGCTGGATTAGAAGCCGATGCAGAGGTGAGTCAAGATTGAGTTTTTTTGTATGCTTTCTTTGCAATAAATAGTGATTAATTATAACAGTTTCTTATTTTTAATCTTGTTCTTCTTGGTTTTCTTTTTTCAGTTTCTTGCAGCAGCATCGAACAGAATTTATAGCTCTCTCTACGACGATGGTGAAGCGTCTGAAGACGCCACGGTGAATGCAGAAATTCCAGGGTGGGTTCAAGAGTTGGAACCCGTAAAAAGTTTGAAGACAAATGTGGGGTCCAGAATAAGAAATTGTATCATAAAGTCATTGGACAAGGATCCACCCGAGTGGGCGAGAGAATGCTTGGTTCGTTCGATCAGCAAAGAAGTTTACAAGGCCAATGCTTCTGGCCCCACTAAGGTAATTCTCATCTCTGTCTCTGTCCATATAGCTTTGTTTGTCTTGCACAATAAATGTTTATGTTTTAATTTTACCCTTTCTTCTCTTGCAGAAACTAGCTCTGGAAGTTGCTTCAACCTTCCACTCTATGCAACAAAATCCTTCCGTTGGGAGAACCACCAGAAAGAACTTCAAACCTATGTGGGACATTGTAATGAAACAATGTCGGATAGTGTTGCGTAAATCGGCCACAGGGAAACAAACTAGAAAGCTACGCAGGTTGCTTGGATATAAATCGGTGCTTTGTGGCAGTAACGAAGAAGGGCTTCTTGGTTCTCCGGCTATGGTTTCAAGTCTTTTCTATTTAAGGATGATTGATTTAAGATTGGCTGCCGGTGCTTACGGATCACATGAAGCTTTTTTCGACGATGTAGAAGAGGTATTTTTTGTTACGTTTTCTAATATACACGCGTGTAATATTTAGCTAATGCTCGAGACGAGCTGAAATGAAATAATTTAGATCTCTGTTTGGAACTTTTAATCTGCAAAGCTTTACCATTACTAAGAATGACAATTTCTTTTCACCTCTTTAATTATTGTGATAAAAGATTCTGTTAATACACGCTAGATTCTCTTTCTTAACTTAGCTTTGTTTTCAACTTCCAGTTCTGGAAAGAGGTGCAGAATGCTTTCTGCAGTAACCCGAATCTGGTTCAGCTCGCCGAAGCATCATACCACGCATTTGATTCTTTATATTTAAAAGAGGTACACATTTTCGTTGCATCTATCGCTTGAATCCGTGGTTATATTTTTCAATATCTCCATTCTTCTTTTACTCTGATCATGTACGCATGTTATGTTTTACATTTCTTTTTAATTGGAAAATAATCAGATTAGGAGTATGATTTATATATGGTCTTACACAAACTCGTTTTTTTTCTAGGTTCTTCCTCTGCAGCAGAAATTAGAAAATTCTAATGAGGATATTGATGATCTGGATGCTGTTGCGAATGAAATTCCTAAAGCACCTTGGGATAAAGGGATATGCAAGGTTTGTGGCATTGATGAGGAGGATAACAAGGTCCTACTTTGCGATCAATGTGATGCAGAGTATCACACATATTGTTTGAATCCGCCTCTTGCCGGTGTGCCTCGAGGAAGTTGGCACTGCCTTAATTGTGTCGCAGCAGACGCGAATGTTGTTCAAGATGCTCTTTCCAGCGAAGCATCGGCTGGTTTAAAGCCAGAGGAACAAAAGAGCGACTTCTTATATCCCGTCCAATATAAAGCTGCTGATGTGGTAGATGTGATGCGAGAAAAAGAGTACTCGGAGTTAACTTCGGATGAGGTCAGCCTGTTGTTATATATTTTTATTATGATAAATTGCTTGGAACTTGTTAAAAATTCTTTTGTGATTTAAAGTGAAAGTTGTATAACATTCAATTTGTCCTTTTTATGAATTGCAAGATTCTATATTCTCATTATTCTCTGGGGATGAAACTAATTTGTTTTCTATCACCCATTGTACGTGCAGAGAATCCTCTTTCTGAATTTCTTTTGCAATGAGATGTTGGACTCGGATCTCATTCGGGAACATTTGAAGAAATGCGAACTCTATTCAAGCCAACACCCAATTGAGAGTGGCCTAGCAATGCACACAACAATCGAGAGTGCCTCGTTTAAAAATTCACTGAGGAGTGAGTTTTTGGGCATCGATTATGCTGGAACACTGTACTGGATGATAGATTCAGACACCGGTACTTGGGTGATTGTCAATAGAGTTGATGAGCTATATCAAGATAGCAAAAATTCAAAAGTTGCCGAAAATTTGAAGACAAGTAGAATTGAACAACTTTGGAGCATTGGAGGATCGAAGGCATATTCTTCTTGGTCGTGCTACCAATCAGAAGATGAAATCAAAGGAGTTGTCAATTCCTTGAGAGATGATGACCGAGTTAAAGGACAACTAGAGAAGGCTCTTCTGCTAATTAGATCAAAAATTAATATTTCGCCGGATGAGTTTAAAATTGAAGGCGAAGAGCCTCAACCTCTTGTTCAAAATGAAGGTCAAAATTTTATGACAAGGATGACTACTATACTGAAGGGCAAGTGTAATTATGCTTCTTCAGTTGAGGCAGAGACAAGCGAGATGAAGATGAAACGGATAAAGGGCAAAATGATTGTTGAGGACACGGAGGAAGTTGACCCTAACTCTGTACAACCGTTGATAGACAAAACGGCTGAACATTTAGGGCAACTTAAAATCAACCTTCTTGATATGGAAGCTGCGATTCCTAAGAAGGCGTTGCGGTCGTCCAAAGCGTGCTTTTATAGGAGGCATGCCTGGCGTGTGTTTGTAAAGCGTTCAAACACTATATTCGAGGTTAGTCTTCTACCAAGTCTTTTTTTTTTTTTTTCTCTCACTTCGAGTCTCTCCTTGTAGGTTGGATTCTTTATCTTTTTTAAATGTAGATTGTTTAATTGTTCAATTTTGAGGGATTTTTTTGCTCTGAAGTTGCTTATTGTACATATGATAGTTTATCTAGTGAATTTATTAGCCAACCGATGGCACGCACCAAAGCCTTTTTTGGCAGTATAATTTATAAAAAATAAGTAAGATGCGTAGCTATCTGCCTTGTTCTGTTCCATGGTTTCTTTTAGTTAGTTATTTTGGAAAAACACTTAATTACAGAATATGCTACCATGAAACTTGATAATTAATTTTTTTATTTTCATTTTTCTGTTCCATGGTTTCCTTTTGCTAGTGCTTTTTTGGAAAAAAAACACTTAATTACAGAATATGCCACCATGAAATGTTGTATCTGTACATCTGTGTCATTCATGCCCTATGTTATTCAATAACATGCTTGTATTCGAGTTTCTTGTGGATAAATAATAGATTAATTTTTTTTCGTTTTGTTTTTCTATATTCAGATGGTTCAGGCACTAATCGTATTTGAAGATATGATTAAGCTGAGTTATTTAGATTGCTCATGGAGGTATTGGTCTTCACTCCCAACCGCTGCCCAAATATCCACCTTATCTGCTCTTTCTTTGCGAATATACTCCTTAGACTCCGCTATCAAGTATGAGAATTCTTCTTCTGGCCCATCAAAACCAGTCTTGAGAGAATCCGAGTACGGTGAAACAAGCAAGAAAAGGAAAAGAGGGTTCTTGTGAAACAAAGCTACTCAGTAGCCACTCGGCGCTTATGTTTGCATTCTGATCTTCTGTAATTGTTTCATAATTGTTTCATAAGTGATTGTTGAATATTGGAGGTTTATCTTTTTTTTGGATGTAATGATTGCCCAATTTATTGAATTAAAATTTTATATATTAAGAATATTTATATAGTGTGGATTCTGTACATATAATATAGATAAATCATGATACTATATGGTGGGGCCCGTGGGGTAGATGTTGAATAGTGTAGCAGGCATGGAAGTGGAAAGACATATTCTTACTAATATGGTTGTGGCATGTGATTAGGGGTGAAAATCGGATGGAATGAATCGGAAATGTTTTTTTTTGGAAATTTTTTAATTTTTTTCAGAAGTTAAAATTAGGTTTCAATTTTTCGTTCCAAAAAAATTGGAGTTTCAAAATTCATTCTAATTTTAGAATACCTCGGAATAAGAGGAATTTCAAAATTTTCGGAAATTTTTAATTTTTTGTATCAAATCGGAAATAATGGTAACTTTTAGCATTTTTTTCTTCTAATTTTCGTAATTTTATGACAAAAGGGAAGAATCCAAAACAAGGGTCAATAAGAGGAAATGTAAACCCTTGTAAGGGCATCTTCCACCCATCTCCATATCCTATTTTTTTCACCTAATTTAGGTGTTTTTAACCTCCCAACTTAAATCACTAAATCGGCATTACACCTAAAATTATGATGATTTGGTTTTAGTCTCCCATTGTGGTCAAATCACATATCACCATATTACTAAATCCTATATTTTCACCAAATTTTTTGGTGAAGAAATTTGCAACTCCCACCCTATCACTACTTTACCAATTTTTTCACCAAATTCTATTTTTTATATCAAATATAGAAATTAAAATAGGATTTGGTGTAATTAACACCATTTTATAATTAGTATATAAAATTATTATATTAACTAATTTCATGTGATTACCAATTTATAAGCATATTTATAGAAAATATATTAGTGTTAATTAATGAATTAGTGTTCAAAAAATAAATACATTACTTATTATTATTATTATTATTATTATTATTATTATTATTATTATTATTATTATTATTATTATTATTATTATTATTATTATTATTATTATTATTATTATTATTATTATTATTATTATTATTATTATTATTATTATTATTATTATTATTATTATTATTATTATTATTATTATTATTATTATTATTATTATTATTATTATTATTATTATTATTATTATTAAATAAATATAAATACATTTGGCTCTAATAAGTTATATGTTTATACAATAAACATGTTTATTATCAAAAACCAACAAAAACATAACATTATAACGTAACAAAATAAATTACCAGACAAAATATATAAATAAAATACATCAACTACTTAGCAATTTTTTTTTTTCTAGCCAAAATAAAATTTTATTGATTCAAAGGGCCTCGTTAAACCTTGTTTGCCTACAAGGAAAGAGTACCCCTACTTTCTAGATATAGTCTGACTATCATAGTTCGAATTAGAGAAATGTCCATCGCCAGTAGGTTCGCCATAGTTGCATTCTCTGTTGTTGTTTGGAGATTCCGGGACGTAAACATCTTCATCACTTGGTCCACTCCCCTCTCCACTAAAATTCAAATTCCTAGCAGCTCCTGACCTGCTTCCCCTATCAATGATGGCTTGTTTTTTATCACTCCAGAATTGTTTACTAAAGGGTGTGAGAGTACTCAAATCCACTCTCATAACCTCCATATCTTGTTCAGAAGCCTTTAATTTTAGTTTTTTTTCCCTATTGTCTTCTTTTTTCTGCTTAAGGCTCGCCAATAAATCCGAACGTGCTTTTCTTTTTCTCTGCATATCTAAGTACTCTTCATGCTGTTTTTGCATAAGATCTTGGCTCTTTCCAACACTGTTCATCATCTCCTGCCACATGGGATCCTTTTCCTTAGTGAGTTTTTTTTTTGTTTTCGCTCCTTTCATTCCCCTTGGTCTGTCATGTGAGTCACTATGTCCAAGAGGAGATGATGAACTATCTCCAAGAGGAGATGAAGTACCGTATCCAATGGGAGATGATGTACTCGGCTGAATTGGTTCAGCCCATTTCACGTGAAATTTTAATATTTTCCAAGCATGATCAAACTTAAAGGGTTGATCATGCAGGGGCATACCGTGGACGCAACAAAAAATGCACTATCATACTTGAAGCAGTAGCATCGCATGATACTTGGATATGGCATGCATTCTTCGGCCTCCCAGGTACAAATAACGATGTTAATGTCCTACAAAAATCAACTCTATTTCAAGCATTAACCAATGGTACATCTATACCAGTTAATTATTCGATCAAAGGTAGGAATTATGATGTCGGTTATTATCTAGCTGACGGTATTTATCCTAAATGGTCAACTTTAGTACAATCCATTCGTGTACCCAAATGTGCCAAAGAAACTTATTTCGTACAGAAACATGAATCATATCGCAAAGATGTAGAACGAGCATTTGGAGTTCTTCAAGCTCGATTTGCAATTATTAGAGGAGCGGCTCGATTCTGGAATAAAAAAGACTTACATGATGTCATGTTTGCATGCATTATTATGCACAATATGATAGTTGAGGAGGAACGTAGTGGATATCTAAATGCCATTCTTGACTATGAAAGTTCACCCACTGTCCCTCTAGCTGAACTTTCAAGAGATATAAATAATACGAAATATGTTAGTTTTCTTGGTCGACATCGGAATTTGATAAATCAAGGAGAACATAATGAACTAAGAAGAAGGCTGGTAGCTCATTTGTGGGATAAACGTGACCAACTAGATGGTGTTGAAGATGATGACGACAATAATGGTGAATGAGACCCTATGCTAATAAGGGGTACTCTTTCCTTGTTAGGCCAAACAAGGTTTTGATGAGGCCCCTTTGACCTTCAAAATTATCAATGCAATAATTTATTTTGGCCAAAAAAATGTTGTAATGTTTTTTTTTTAAACCGTGTTGTAATATTTTTATGCATTTAGTTTATGTGTGGTTTTATTATATGTATAATAATTTACGTCGATTTTCATTCATGTTTCAATAGTTTTTTAAAATTTAATATAATTCTAAGATTATATAATCAATAAAATTATTACTTATAATCGGATCTATAATCAATATTTTTAAATTAAAATAGATTAAAATTATGATTAACATTAATTATATTTGTGTATATTTTATGAAATACTATGGGAGACCAA